TCCAACAGTCAGTTAGCTCAAACCTATTTGACAACATAGGACTTGGAATTTAAGACAAAATATAAAATGTGCAACCATGGAGTGAAGCACAGGAAAAGTTCTGCCCCAGCTGAAAAACAGACTGCCTTTTTAGAAACTGATATCAGGTGAGACTAGTTGAGGTGGTGAGAATGCTAATTGCAACAGAGCTTTGTCTACAGCAATTGCTAAAAGCCTACTGCCTGTTTAAGAAAATAAACACTGCGGCTAGGATCCTGGCATTTAAAGAATCCATCTGCTACAACAGTATATTAACGTAACCAAAACCAGATTTTAAATATCAGCCTCCTAAGGATAACATACAGAGGATAATCCTCCAATAGTCATACAGGTATTGCTCTTGTGAATATATTCCACCAAACACTTCACTTTAATTGCTGACCCTGTTGCAGCAATTAGTGATTATTGAAACCCATATTAACTAATCACTGAGTAGCAGCTATTTTGAGCCAGAAAGGAAACTTAAAATTTTCCCAATAGAATTATGTAAAAGTATATGCTAATACCCTTTATAGGCTTTACTCAAAGAATAATCTATTTTGAGCCCGATCTACTAAGTGCTTACCCTTTCAAAGCACTATTTGTTTTAAGATTTTAGTAATAATCTTTAAGTGATGAGAAGTTAAAAAAACTCTCCAACTTAGAAACATTTGCGCTTTTTTAGCTTATCCATCTTGCAGCACAGATAATTAACTTATTCAGGCTAGAGTCATTTAAGAGAGCAAAAAGGCTTACCTTAAATGTCCTCAGAGTGTGTTGGAGGTTGGTGAGAACACACTTGCAACAGATTCTGAGTGCACCTGGCAACAGTTAGTTGCTGCTGGGTAAACAGCTTCTCTAAGCCCTGGAAACCAATATCTTGACCCCGGAGAGAAAAAAATAATAAAGATATTGGCGCCTGAATTTTAAATCGCATTACGCATGTCCTGTATTTCACGATTCCACAGTGGAAATAAACGTAACCTGTACGAGTGTTCCACCGCCAGGACTTCCCAGCTAGTGCCCATATGCGCACAATCACCTGCCCGGCACCTGTCTTGGTATAGATGGACGTAATACAACCCGGGGAGATACAGCCGTCTGGTGTGTTATCCCTGGCTGATTTCTGAAATATGTATTTAAAAGAAGTAGAGCCTCCAGAGCCTCAGCCCTCTCACCATACTTCTAGGGAGAAATCCTGAACCTGACAACCTCCTCTGCCGGAGGCAGGCAAAGAACTGGGGATGTCTTGGGTAGGAAGCAATTTATAAGGCCAAAGGTTAATTGGGGGAGGTTCTTGAAAAGTTTGGGATATTGCCTGCCTGTTTTTTTCCTCCAGGTGATGAAATCCCAGTTGTAAAGCACTGCCTCTAATCTGAAGGGAAAACTACATTTAAAAATGCTCTTTATCACTACACATGGAACAAACTAGAAAAAAATAAATAAATAATCCCACGCTAAGGTTCAAAATGTGCCTTCTGAATTACCCTGGGGTGTATTTTTTAATAAATAGTATGTGTCTGTGGGGAAGTTTGAATAACCAACCAGCTAAACTACTCCAAAATGGAACATGGACACAGCGTAAAACGTCAAAGTTAGAAAATAACGGAATGGCTGCGTCTCAAATGTGCCCATCCACATATACTTGGCGGGGTATTGTACTCAGACGACATAGCTGAGCAACATATGAAGTATTATACAGTCGTAGCACGCATAAGGTTTGTAAAATATACTGTGCAAACTCACTTTGTGTGTCAAAAAGGCAGAAAAAAATGCTTATTACCACTACACTTGGTACAATCTAGTGGAAAAATTACCCCACGCTGAGGTTCAAATTATGCCTTGTGAAATACCCGGGGATGTCTTCTTTAAGAAATGGTATGCCTTTATGGTGTAGTTGGAGTATGTAGCCTGCTCAAGTGCTACAAAGTGGGACATGGACGCACCAAAACCCTGCATGAAAATTCACACTTAAAAACCTGAACTTGTCACATCTGTTTTACAGCACTGTAACTTTACAAAATAGTGTCTAGGTCATGCATTGGGCATATTGTTTTACTTGGAAGATGTAACTGCATAATTTTTTATTTTTTTTATGACAGTGGTACATATAAAAGTGTAAGAAATACTAAAAACATATATGTAAAAATGCCATTTTTTCCCCCTCACCACAAACATTGACATAAATTGGCGAAAAAATGGTGACAAGTTAAGGCACACTATACGCTATATAAGATACCCTGGGGTGTCTGCTTTATCAAATGAAAGCCCTTTGTGGGGTTATTTGAACAGTCATACTGCTATAATACCCTAAAATGAGACATAGGCCTTGCAATTCCATCTACGAAAATTCTAACTATAGAAACTGAAATATTCTTGTCTCTTATACGGCATTGTAGCTTCACAGAAAAGTGCCAAAGGCATACAATGGGGGTATCGTTATACTCAGCAGATGAAGCTGAACACAATATGGGGTTCTGTGCAGGAATAGCACACACCAGCTTTACGAAATACACATTACAAAAACCTTGTTATATGTGTATATGCCAAAATAGAGAAAAAAACAACAATATTTAGCAGAGATTGGCGATGAAATGGCTACGTAAAAAGTGTCAAACTAACCTTAGGTAAATAGCCTGTGATGTCTACTTTATATAAAATATATACTTTTGTGTGGCAATTTTGTTTTCTGTGATGGTTACTAAACCTACAAGACAAACTTCTAAAATTGTTTCACATTGAAATTTTTTTTTAGTCCTTGTATTTTGTGACATGTAACTTTCAAAATAAGCTGAAAACCTACACATATTATGTAGTCTATAAATCAAGACACATAAATTAATTTATTTTGAATTACTTTTTCTAAGCTGGACATATTATGCACACGCTATTATTGCCAAAACTTTTTTCCCCCATTTTTAATTTTTTTTTATAATTAATGAGAATTTATCTATGTATATGTGACATCAAATTAAAGCCCAGTTTGCCCTCTAAAAAACAGTATATAATATGTATTGGTGTAATAAATTACAAAGATGCAAATTGCGTTGGAACACAAACAGCAAAAAAGGCAAAAATGGCTTGTGTCCTTAAGGGTAAGTCAGCTTTTGAAGCTGTGTCTTTAAAGGGTTCAATATGCAGTAAGGCTCAGTTCTTAGTAAACATACATCCACATGACATGACATAACCAAACCCATTAACTAAACACATATCATACAGACCAATACAGTGAAACAAAATTCAGTTCCAAATGTTAGCGAATCATATATTCGAAGCACGCGGCCAAATGAAAACCGGAGTAAATTGATTTGAATGCGGACAAGACAGCCCTGTTAGCGTTCAGTCAACTGAATGTGGCAGAGCATGTGCAAGGGGCTGAGTGGAGCAAAGTAATTGGTGCATTTGAACAGCCAAATGCTAGTGCGTCTGTGTGCCAGTGGCCCCGAGGGCATAGAAACTCACAGTTCGCTGCGGCTGAATAGAATTGCAGGATACATAGCCCAGAAGTGCTGGTTTCCAACGTGGGTCGAAGGGAGTCCATGGTGGGAAGGAGTTGCAGGAGAGCTGGTGACACAGGGCCTCGGATATATCCCTGTGGACCCAAAATGAGCTGAAGCAGGCCATCAGAGGTGCTGGAGTTGGTGTGGAAGTTGCTGCCTCGGTGTCCCAGCCGGCCTGAGTTGAGTAGATCCAAACCGAAAGTTGACGAAAGGCGGCCTGTCTGTTTATAGGCTGGGTAACCCCTCCCTCACTTACAGGATCACCTTTCATATACGCAGCCATGAAACCTGTACATGGGGGTGCTGTTTTACTGGGAAGACTTCACTGAGCCCAAACGAGTGTTTTAAAACAATAAAATGTAGCAGGAGAATGATATCAGTGAAAGTGCAGTATGTGTAAAATAAAAAGCCCACAAGAGACAAATATGAACATTAAAGAACCACTATGGTGCCAGGAAAATTAGTTTTTTTTTTTTCCCTGGCACTATGTAGCCCTCAGGTCCTCCTCACCCTAATGGCCCCCTCCCGCTGGGCTGAAGGGGTTAAAACCCCTTCAGCCACTTACCTTTCTCCAGCACCAAGCTCCCTCTGTACTGGGGAACTCTCCTCCTCCTGCCGACGGCAAGAGCCGTGTGCGCTTTCAAATTGCCCATAGGAAAGCATTACTCAATGCTTTCCTATGGACGTCAGCGTCTTCTCACTGTGATTTTCAAAGTGAGAATAGTGGAAGACAGCCACTAGAGACTGGATTAATCCTCAGTGTAAACATAGCAGTTTCTCTGAAACTGCTATGTTTTCAGCTGCAGGGTTAAAACTAGAGGGACCTGGCACCCAGGCCACTTAATTGAGCTGAAGTGGTCTAGGTGTCTATAGTGGTCCATTAACTTTGCCCAGAGTTTGTAACAAAGTGGCTACTAAAAAAAAACAGTTTGGATTTAACCCATGTTTTAATAACCTGGGCTATCTACTTTTTCATATGGTATGCCATTATAGGCATATTTCTCATTCCTGGGCTGCCATACCATCTCAGAGGCAACATAAGCAATCTGGCAAATTTCAAAGTGTAAAACTGGAAAGAAGAAAGCCTTATGTTTGACCCCTGTAAGTTTCCAAAACCCCATAAAACCTGTACATGAGGGGTACTTTTGTACTCGTGAGACATCGTTGAACACAAAACGTGTTTATTTTATTGCAGTAAAAGCCAACGCTATGACATTCACAGTTAAATGCCACGTACAACTAAGAAAATAAAAGGTCTTAAGTTCTTACACTTCTTTAGTTTTTATTCATATTAAAATTATGTTTCATATAAAAAATAGTTGTAAAATGAAAGCCCTGTTGCTCTTAAATAAAACTATATATAATAAATATGGGTACACGTAATATGAGGGTGGGAAATTAAGGTTGAACAAACATATAGCACAATTTCTGTAAGAATATTAAATAGTTAACTTATTTATATGTATTTTATGCTTTTATAAGGTTTATAACATGATTATTGCTGACTGAAGGGATATTGAATACTTAAAGTCAATGTACGACATAATATGCTGACTGTGACAGACTAAGGTATTTCTTCTATAGGATGTAAGACAATGCTAAATTTCAGGATGTCTTGCCCATTCCGATTTTAAGGATATTCTTTTCCAGACGTATGCAAAAGCTTATCTTTCCATTGTCAGAATAACGTAATATAAGGAAGTAATAAATCTTATAGTCTGTACTGTATTTGCATATACCATGGCTAATGTAAGCAAACTATGTATAAAAGCCAGCTCTGGAATACACTCATTTGAGAGTCTTGTAAAGCTGTTGTCCGTGTGTTAATGCTTACAATGATTCTCCATCAACGTTGATTATGGTGACCGAGGGATCGAGAACCGAGGGGATTAGAGTCCATTACAACATTAACCCTTTCAGCTTGGTGTCTAGAAGTGGGATAGATAGAAGTTGGATCAGCAAAACCATTGCGGTGAGTAGCCTTTTTGTGTCTTATTTGACGCTGATTGTCTATGACCCCCGTTTGGTTCAGTAAGACTGTATCCAGTAGATAGGAAAGGTGTAAGGACTCTAGTTATATTGAGACTATAAGAGGTCTCCGGTTTATTAGACATTTGGTCTAAATATATAGGGTTTTGGTAACCCAGGTTAGTATCTAAGATAGATACAGGTTTTTGAGACCATAAGAGGTCTCCGGTTTATTATAGGGTTTTGGTAACCCAGGTTAGTATCTAAGATAGATACAGGGTATCTCAGGTAGATACAGGTTTTTGAGACCATAAGAGGTCTCCGGTTTATTAAGTCTATAGGTGTTCTGAGCAGCACGGTTTGTAGATCTATAAGTATAACCCAAACTTCTCTTTCTCCCGGTCACCTTTGTTTGTCTTAAGTGTTTTTTGTGGGTGATTGTTTGTCTATATTGGGGACACACTTTGGTAAGTTAGTAGTGTCCCCACTCTGAGTCAGCAGTATGGGAAATGTGAGTTCATGTCCTGAGTGACCAATATATGTACATGTATATGTGTGTGTATGTATATATGTATATATGTATGTATATATGTGTGTGTATATGTATATGTGTATATATAAGATAGCAGTACTTTTAAACAAATGGAGGTTTTAAAAATACATAGGGATTAAGGAGAGAACGCAGGTAACTTGTTTTTCTTTGGTTTTTACCATATATTGGGGCTGATGTGTACTGTAGTCCTTGCTGCTGTCCAGTAGTGATGGGAGTGAGCGTAGGACTTATCTTTTTACAAGATAGCAGTACTGTATATTAGAAAAGAAATGACTCACAGGTTGTACCTGATAGACCTACTTAAATCTTTTTACTTTATTCTTTCTGTCGCATAGAAGTATAAGTTTATTACTCTGTTTTATTGTAAGTTATTTCACATGGGAATTGTGTGCCTGGAATGATTGTTGCTTTAAAAATACTATAAGCCCACTACACTTATTATGAGAGTGGGATAGTGTAAATGTGTTGCATTGTTTGCATGATGAGCTCAGTATATTTTATAACTGAGACAAAAAGTCACTTCATTAGTAAAGTTAATTCCCCATATGGGATTAATTGTATAGAAACACCAATCAGCACATCTTCCCTGCCCTGTGTGTTTGTTGCAAAGGATCCATACTGTAAATATGACTTATGTTTGAAAATAACAGAGCAACATTTACATTTTCAGCGGTCCAACACATGCTTTATTTTGCACTGTAAACTAACCTTTTTATTGCAACAGGTTCCTTTTAAATGATCCAGTGTAATAACTACTGCTTGTGTCTTCTATGTCTCACATTATGTGTTATTTTAATTGTGGTATATAGCCTGAATCAGACATCATGGACAAAGGTTTTTACCTGTGTTACTAAGGGCTCTTGGAGACTGACCGGTCTAAAGGTTTGCCATGCCTTTAAAACATGGTACAGTATAAATTTTTAAGTCTCTGAGAGTTCTGAAAGATTCAGGTGAAACCATGTCTGTTTAATCTGGTCCAGATGTTTGTTCAATTTCTATAAGATTTAAGTTGATGCAGCATCATCTCAGATTAGTTAATGGTAGTTTTATACAAATAGTTGAGTTATGAGCGCGCTATATAAATGGATCCTTTCTTTAAATACAATACTATAGTAGATTAAAGTAATGAAGTTAATTAAGAAAATGTACACATAAGAATCCCTAAAATAAATCTAAACTAAAATTGGTATACCTTCCAATAATATGTTCTGAATACAGCTGTTTATTCTGTGTAAATGGTGACTGTGATAATGTGTGATAAGTGTGCAGTTTAACTTGAAAGTGGTTTAATTTATATGTTGCTGTATTGTTTTAAATTATATGTGAATCAGTTTGTCACAGTCTAGTGATACTGATAAGAATGACAACCAAATAACCTAGCAAATAACTGTTTTATTAGTTGTTGAATACTAGCGTTTTGGCCAAGAATAGTTGGAGATTTGGAGGTGTTAGTTTAAGATTGCTTTTATATTGTGTCTATCCGTGTTTCCTAGGAGGGAGACAGAGTGTGTAGTTGTGTGCCCATAAATGTGATTTCTGTATTGGCATATCTGCTGGGTACCCATTATGTGTTTCTACAAAGATATTGTTTTATGAGATGACTAATATTACATTGGATGCTGAGTATGAGTTATATGGTTTGAAATGAATTGGTGATTATGAGCTTAGTACTTCAGTAAGATGTGCTAAAATTTGGAACAAGGTGGAAGCTGAAATGTTGGGATTATGGAAGAATAAGCAGTCTATATTCACTGCTTTGGCATATAAGCAGGATGCAAAGGAAGAGATTGGTAATATGATTTTTGTAAAGAAATTTTACAAGTGTTGGAAGGATGAGGCAGGTTTGATGTCTGGAGATGATATAGATCTCTTTAAAATACAGTCATGCCTTGGTAATATGTTGCCACAGTATTATTTGCTTGTCAAACAATTGATTTCAGACTGGGCCAATTTGGATAGCTCAGATTTTCTTACCAAGGTTATAGAAAAGGAAAATGCAGGTTGTTTTGAATTAAGAAAAGATTTAGGAAAGTAAGGTTGCTTATTATGCTCAGGGATTGCAACATATTATGTCCAGCTACACAGGCTGAGAGCGAGGATGGGATGGAGCACATAAAGCCCGCGGAAGGGGTGGTCAAAGAGGGGCAAGGGGATGGAGACAGGGAAATCAGGGTTATAGGGGCAGGGGTAACCAAGGAGGAATAGACAGGAACACTTGTTTCAACTGTGGCCACTGGAGGAATGAGTGTCCACACCCCAGGAAACCCCACACACCCCAACAACCCCACAATTCTCAAAATATGCCCTGTAGGCAAGAACAACACCAGACCCACTCCCAACACCACTGGCCAGCATATCGCTTAGTTCAGGACTTTAGAGCCCTGAATAGTTTAATTGTGCCCATTTCACCCATTGTCCCTGATGTGACATCCCTCATTACAGCCATTCCACATGATGCCACTTGCTTCACTGTCATTGATTTAAGTAATGCATTTTTTCTATACCTATTGATCAAGAGACACAGCTACTTATGGTTTTTACTTTTTGAAGGCTGTCAGTTTACCTGGACACGCTTACCCAAGGCTATGTGGATTCCCCAGCTGTTTATTCGTTGGTACTCCAACATACTCTAAAAAACATGGACCACCGGTCATGGTTCCGTCCTTTTTGCAAAATGTTGATGATTTGTTGTTATGTAGCCCTAGCTATGAGGCAAGCACTGTGGATACTGTCAGCAACTGTAGGTCACAAGGTTGTTAAACACAAAATGCAATTGTGTAAATCAAAGGTTGAATACTTAGGTTTTGTTCTGGCTTTAGGCACCAGACAATTGAGTCCAAAACGTATTGAGGTCATTCAGAGGATTCCTACACCCACTACTCGGAAGGAGTTGCTCACCTTCCTCGGCATGATTAATTACTGCCACCAATGGATCCCTGAATGCTCCCATTATAACTCAATCCTAAGGGAGGCTGTACGTTCTGACAGCCCTGAAAATGTCTGCTGGTCACCAGACATGCTAGCTGCATATATTGCCCTTACAGTTGTTATTGTGCAAGCCCAGGCTTTAGGACTACCTGTGTATTGTAAACCATTTCATTTGTATGCTTGGGACAATTGTAAAACCATGGCCGCGGTCTGTGCACAAGAGCAAGGAGGCGGTATGCGTCCCATAGCATTCTTTTCCAAAGTAGTTCAAGCTCCGGTACAGGGTATGCCGGCGTGTCTCAGAGCATTGATAGCATGTGCAATGGCTGTTGAAACTGCTACTACTATCACACTAGGGCATCCTACAATACTTCATGCCAGTCACCAGGTCACTCAGCTGATAATAAATCTCACCACACAACACATGACAGCCCAGCGCTTCAGTGGTTATGAGATTCTTTTTTTTTAATACCCAGAATCTGTCTTTTGGATTAAACAAGGTTTAGAGAAAGATCAAAATGATCTGTTCTCTAAAGAGGGGAGAATAGGCATACTTGAAGAATAGGCATACTTGAAGCAAGCTGATTTATTTTCATCAGTCAGGCACATAGCAAGCACCATTCAATTCCTCATGAATTCATTTTATATTAGGAATCTCAGGCAGCATGTACAGTCTTTTGTAAGATCGTGTGAACGCTGCTCTTTTTACACACTTACAGATTGATTTTATTCATGTATCCAAAATTGGTAAGAAACAGCAATACTTACTGGTCATAGTTAATCAGTTTAGTGGATGGCATGATGCCTTTGTGACATCTAGGGAAGATGCTAGTGAAGATTATTGTTACTGAAATTATTCCCAGGTATGGCTGCCCTCTGCAGATTGGCTCTGATAATGGCCCGGTTTTTGCAAGTGGGGTTGCCCAGGAACTTGCTAAATTCTTGCAAGTTACCTGGCAGTTTCATATACCCTATCATCCACAGAATACAGGGTAGTTGAAAGGATGAATAGGACTATTAAGGAAAAGCCCAGAATTTACCCAGGAACATGGGTAAATTGGACTAGATATCTACCAGCTATTTTAGCTGAGATAAGAATATATCCCCACAAGGTGAATTGTTGATAAAACCGAATGGTATGTATGACAATGTTTCTTCGCAGTTTTCCCTTACCTTCACAGGAACCTACTCATTCATACCAGCCCGGTGACAAGGTGTATATCCGTCAGCTGAACAGGACCAAGAAAGGAGGATACCCTTTTGGACCACCTGCTACTGTGATTGCTGTAACCAGAACCGCTGTCCTCACAGATTCCCATGACATCTGGATTCACGCATCCCGAGTGAAGCTGTGTCCAAAGAGGGGAACCAAGGAAGACAACACCACTCCTCGCTCGGAAACAGAAGAATTTCTCCTCAGCGAAGCATCATGGCTTTTACACCATATCGTAGATTGAGAGGATCATACGTACCTGAGACCAAGATTATGTTGTGCGCTATGCTTTCTGGAGTTGTTATACTCCCTCTGATATTGTTCCTTGAATGCCATTATGAGTACAAGTCAATGGCAAGTTCTGGAAAAAGACTCTGACATGATGAACAATTCTTCAATACCCCCAGCCCAATTAGGCCTTAGCCCCTCATCTAGCATTCGTCACACACGCCCCCTCAAGAACCTTTCTCCACCACCTTTCTATCAGCATGCAATATGCAATCATTCATTTACTGAACGCATTTGGATGAATTGGACAAATAGTAACCCTTATAAGTACCAGTTACCCATATGAAATGTGTCTACAGCTAATGAAACCGATGCATTATGTTTGTTTAAAGGTTCACAGAAAATTGTTAGATCTTATAACGCAGAAATGTGCACAGTTAAGGTTGCATATCAATGTAAACAGACAGGCCTTATTACTTTTAATAATGATTATATAACTGGTATCATTAATTGGAGAAGGGGACAAATGTTAGTCATTATGAACGACACTACAATTGAGAACTATACACTACCTTATATTTTTACACCTTATTACTGTCCTTTATCCTCTACCATAGAACCAAAAGTCAAACACGACACACACACACACCTATTTCGTCCACATGTATTAATACAACTGCCTTCTTACAAGCTGTACATGTGTCATTAAAAGTCACTACTCTTGTTGTAACATTATGTAATACAACAAACAAAGGCAGAAAAGGGAATGGTATGACACACTGTTAGGAGGTGCTGGAACCACTATGGGTATATTAAATAGTTATAGATATGGAGACCCTCAAGAATAAGTTAAACACAGCCAGTATGCATATAGGGACTGGTTTCCATGCTACTGCAAATTGGGCTCCAATTGTTGTTAAATCACAGGTTATAGGATTGGATTTAGATAAATCAATGTATAATTATTTAGATAATTTAACTGTTGCAACTATGAAATTCACTACAGGTCTAAGTAACTGGAGTACTTGTGCCATCAGGTATTTATGGATACAACAACAAGGATTGGCATTAGAAAACACACTAATGATTCCTAAACTAGAGAAGATTAGAGGAAAGCTTAACCTCACAGATAATGAATGGTTACTTCTAAAACCCCAATCCACTAAATGCAATGGATGGTTAACTGGTAATGTTTCACATTTTTCATGCTCATGTTATTTTACATTATATCATACATCATCAAAGGATGTTAAATTAGCTTGTCAATTTAACACATTACCAGTACCAGTTTATGATCTTTTTGCCAAGAATTTAACCTGGTGGGCACCCACATACACAGGGGACTATATTTTTCCCAAAGATAACACACACAGGTAGCCACACATATCCTAAAAGGAGAACTCCTTAAGGTGAGTTCACAAATTCAGAATGATTTAGCCCATCATTGGTACAATGCTTTACTGGTTGGTCCCCTACTGGATCCCAGATAATGAAATCATTCTTCTATCCTTTTGTTATTATAGTCCTGATTTTATTGTGCATGATTTTATATAACTATCACCTTACTTGTACATTGAGGAAGTGAGTACAGAAATGAATCCATAATGCAGAACAGAAACAATTAGAAATTCTCCTCTCTGCCACTGTAGAGTATCAACCCATCTTTAAACTGGGCCTTAGGAATTACCACATGGGAATCGAGGTGAAGAAATTAATGAAAGTCCCGCAGGGAGTGACTAGCACCCCTGAAAATACCATGTGGAAGTTTCTCTGTCCTGGTAAGATTTTATCGATAAGATGAGCAATTGTTTTATTGCTCAAAGAGGGGAATGTAAGAATATTAAATAGTTAACTTGTTTATATGTATTTTATGCTTTTATAAGGTTTATAACATGATTATTGCTGACTGAAGGAATATTGAATACTTAAAGTCAATATGCTGACTGTGACAGACTAAGGTATTTCTTCTATAGGATGTAAGACAATGCTAAAATTTCAGGATGTCTTGCCCATTCCGATTTCAGGATATTCTTTTCCAGACGTATGCAAAAGCTTATCTTTCCATTGTCAGAATAACGTAATACAAGGAAGTAATAAATCTTATAGTCTGTACTGTATTTGCATATACCATGGCTAATGTAAGCAAACTATGTATAAAAGCCAGCTCTGGAATACACTCATTTGAGAGTCTTGTAAAGCTGTTGTCCGTGTGTTATTGCTTACAAATGATTCTCCATCAACATTGATTATGGTGACCGAGGGATCGAGAACCGAGGGGATTAGAGTCCATTACAACATTAACCCTTTCAGTCACCGGATCCCTTCTGAATCTCCTCTTCATGCAACTATAACTTGGATTATCTGGTTAACTAATTTGGACTGGCCTTGACTCTGCTTGTGGAATTTCCTTCAATACTGCTTGATCTCCTATTGAACGACCTTGGACTGGATAAAGGACATTGCTTATGGACTAATCCTGGACACATCACCTAAACTTCTATTTTCAAGGACTGTCAGTTTTTTTCTCTATGCTTTGCTGCCACATCAGTTTGCCGTGCTGAAACTGCCTCAAAATAAAAAGTGAGTGGTTCTTATTTTTTTGTTTGGCATTTGTTAAAGAAAAAACATGACACTAACATCACAAAAAGGGAGAGAAATCTCTCTCCTCAATAAGACCCTTTGGGTACAGCGTTTGCAACGTATATATCCAATATAACTCTCATCGTTTCAACATGACTTCTCTTGAGCCACCCCTCTTAGGGGGTTTTACTGATTGTAGTGTCATGTATCGTAATTGTGAGACCGTATGCTTATTTTCCAAATGCCGAGCCACAGGATATTGGATTTTATTAGTCCTGATACTTCTATAATCCTTGTGGTAAATATCCGTGTGGTCTCGCCCACATATGCTAAGTCACACAGGCACTTCAACATAAATACCACAAACTCAGATTGGCAATTACAGAACTCATGAATTGCATATCTCCTACCAGTCCTAGGATGTAAAAAATGATCACCCGTGATTACTCCATTACAATTGATGCAGTGTCTACAACGGTACATACCCGCTAGTAAGTGACTCCAATAAAGAATTATCCTCACCACTTGTTCACAACTGTACTATACTATATTTTATATTTTATTTAATTTGTCCCCTTTAGGGATTTTCTACCACCCCACATCCCTTAACCCTTAGGAGTAAGTGTTAACCTATTTAGCGCTACACACTCACTATTTGTCATTATTTTGTAAAATAGTGTCTGTTTACAACTGCTAGATGATAATTTTATTAGAGAAGTGACAAATAGAAGGAAAATGGGAGCTGTAAATACAAAAAAAAAAAAAACTATATATGTTTAATAAGTAGCGGCTGGATTTTGTGTCGACATCATAACCTAGAGGGTGTAGTGCTAAGGTCACGGTTGGTTGAGACAAATTGCGATCTTCTGAATTGAAGACAGTGAAAGATTCAAAAGTAGTGGAATATCAGATTTTAGACTTTAATCAGATTTTAAATAGTTTGTATAGTTTTAAAATCTAAAGGTCCATGTGGAGTAGTTATATTGTAATTCTAATCAATATTGATTTTGTCCAACCTTCGCAGAAAACAGAAATAAAGTCCTACAGAGATCTGTTTCAGGTGTCAAAATCTACCCAATGAACTCTTGTATATTGTCATGGCACAGCACAAGCCCTGCAGACATTAAGGCATGACTGCCCCTTTGAGAGACCTGGCTGGGTTTGAACTCTCTGCTCCAGCATCACAGTTAGGTTCTCTGCCAGGTTCTCTGCCATCTGTCAGCATTTTTTTTTCTGCTTCCTGAGCCCCTTGCCTGGATTAAGCAGCACTGCTCCACCTGCAGCCCTTTTCCAATTAGGGTCAGCTGCACGTAATTAGCAGGCTGTAGAAGCCAGCCCTGCCTGAAACCTAGCATGTAGTCATTTTGCCTGTTTGGTGTTTCCTGCTGGATCTTTGATTTGCTACGGACTGATTTCCTGGACTCTGACCGATTTACCGACTTTGTTACTCTGTTACTCCGCTGCCAGCCCTGACTTCTGCTTCTCACCTGACCCTGCCTTTGGATTTTCCCTTTATCTGTACTGTGTTTTGCCTGCTTCCTGTGCCATCTCCTGGTAAACTGTTCCATAAGTCCACTGGTGACTGTTACATAATGACCAGATTGACTACCATGGAGCCCGCGGAGATGATGAATGTCCTGAGTACCCTCACACAGCAAGTGACCCTCCTGTCTCAAACCGTAAGTGAATTGCAGTGTGATTTTGCTGAGTTAAAGGGGAACACACACCATGCTTCTGAACCTGGTATTGCATTACCTGACAAGTTCACTGGGAAAAGGACTGAACTACAATCATTTATCACAGCCTGCGAACTGCTCTTCATTTTAAAACCATGCACATACCCCAATGATTATGTGAAGGTTCGCACTACTATTGCCCTGCTGTCGGGTAAACCCCAAACCTGGGCACACCAACTCCTGCACTCAAACAGTTCAATACTGGACTCATGGGACTCCTTTGCTGCAGCAATGCGTACATTATACAATGACACCCTGAGACCCTCTGCTGCACGTACTGCCCTCCGTTCCCTCTGGCAAGGAAGACCAGTGGAGCATTAGCTTCTGATACCGGTTATAATGAGACTGGTCTAATAGAGCAATACAGATTGGGTCTGTCTGAGGCATTTAAAGATGAACTAGCCAGAGTTGGGGTACCCACTTCATTGGAAGATCTGTTCCTTCTGGTCACCCAGCTAGATCGCTGGTTCAGAGAAAGAAAGCAGGAGCAATTTGAAAACAGCATTTTTAAATAATTAAATGTACATTTTTATTTTATCTATATTTTTTTTTTTTTTTTCTTCTTTATAGAGAAGGAGGGATAAAAACCTAATTTAATACAAGAATCAGGATATGTATAAAGTATATCAGAAGGGATAAAAAAGAAATGCCTAATGTAAATAAGAATTCAGTGATGTAAAGATATAAAAAAGTGTTACTGAAGCCGAAAATAAGTCAGAGATTGTAAGATGGTAATTGAAACCAGCTTTTTGCCCCATCAACGTTCCAAACCTGCTGGTGAGACTTATACCCATATCCCCACCATGGACACAGAGGAACCCATGAAATTTGGAACACTGAATACCATGCTCACGGTAAATGGAAAAAGCCAGAAGGAGTGCCAAAGGCCTTTGCTTCTATTGTGGCAAGGGAGGTCACTACATCAGCTATTGCCCGATATGTCCTCCTCGCCCTAAACATAGCCATGTGGAGACTCTGTGTCACCATCCTACAAGTCCATCATGGCCCCTTTTTTGTTCAACTCTGCATGCTACTGGACCGCAAAGACCACCTAACCAGACCAATGGGACCATCACAGCCCTGGCTAACCCTGTTCCAGAGCCTCAAAAGGAAGCTGCTGTGGCTACCTCAGCTTCTGTCTCCCCTAAAGTTTCCTGCTCTAACACAGAGGATCTGTCCCCAGACAGTGTAATTGCCTCCAATGGAACCGTGGTCTGTAGGCAAGATCTAAAGGTCTTTGAGCAGGCTCTTAAGGCCAGAGCTGCATCCCCTTCTCGCCTCCACTGTCTTCTCAAAGAATAACAATCTGCAAAATGTTCCAACCCTCTCAGATCCTGATGATTCTGATGCCTATACCGACCTGGATTTCCTGTCTGAACCTGAACCTGAACTGGACTAGATAATGCCATGTCATGGCACAGCCCGAGCGCTGTAGACCTGGCTGGGTTTGAACTCTCTGCTCCAGCATGCCAGTCAGTTCTCTGCCATGACATCCACCAGGGGGCTTCAGTTTCTGTCTGCATTTTTCTGCTTCCTGACCCCTTTGCCTGGATTAAGCAGCACTGATCCACCTGCAGCCCTTTTCCAATTAGGGTTAGCTGCACGTAATTAAAAGGCTGTAAAAGCCAGCCCTGCCTGAAATCTAGCATCATTTTGCCTGTTTGGTGTTTCCTGCCGGATCTTTGATTTGCTACTGACTGATTTCCTGGACTCTGACCTCTGCCTGATTTACCGACTTTGTTACTCCCCTGACTTCTGCTTCTCGTCTGACCCTGCCTTTGGATTTTCCCTTAATCTGTACTGTGTTTTGGAAATTTTCCTGCTTCCTGTGCCATCTCCTGCAACTGGGCTCCAACTCCTGGTAAGCTGGTGAATGTTACATATATGCAAGATTATTTCAGACCAGGGTAAGAAAACCTTTGGCACTAATGTTTTGGACTACAACTCCCCTGATGCTTTGTCACTATTATGGCTTTAAGAGCATTATGGGAAATGTAGTCCACAGTATCTGGAGTGCAGAAAGTTGCCAATTCTGTTCTAGGCGCAGTGATACAGTGATTGCCTGGTTTTGCCCTTGCTGTGCCTGTGTGGGAGTGTGGAAAAATGAACTTTTAAAATAATTATTATGCTTGATCCTTATTCATACGTATGTAAATTCTTCTTTCTTATTGTTGGGTGGCTCGCCTTGTATCATGCATATCAGTCATTCCTGGCTTTTCTTATAAAAGAGATTTACTCTTCTTGCTTCGCAAATACATAGTCAGTACTTACAATGTCATTGATGTTAAATAGGTCAACAGCTGGTGGTACATGCTGGACATTGAGTGCAAAGACACTCTGCTCTTGATGTTCTGTGTCTCAAGAGCTTACAACACTTATTGTCATCTGTTCATGTCACTCAAGATCAACCACACAACAGTTTGAAATGTGTTTTCTCAGTTGAATAAGTCTTTCTAACGACCTTACAGAGACTGATAGATCTTAAGAAGTAGTCTCAATATCTGCAAGTCAGGGACACACGAGGAGAGCAGAGCGTAGGAGAAAGAGAACGTGGTTCTTTATAGGCAAAATGACGTCATAACTTTTAATTTAGACTCTGGCCATATAAGGAAACTCCCCATATAAGGACCCCAATCTCACTATACAGCACATTCCTGAATCCTCAAGGTACAGAATAGCAAACACCATCTGTTCTTTTTAACTCATTAGACATCCACACCTTAATATTTATTTGAATAGGAACATATAGAATATGTAATATGCTACAAAGAGACATTTTCAAAAGAGAGTATTTTCAGGGAGCCT